GGCTGGTGGGGCAGCAGAGGGAAGGGGAAAATAGAGGGAGGCAAGCCATGTTTATTTCCTTCTGTTTAGTTATAAGGCATGGCTGTCTCAAGTCATTTTGCTGCCCCAAGTGGATAGTATGGGAGGACAGCCTCATGGTAACAGGTATGGTTCCCTCCACCCCTGACTTATGTTGATTTGTGGTTATGCAGAAAATAGAGGGAGGCAAGCCATGTTTATTTCCTTCTGTTTAGTTATAAGGCATGGCTGTCTCAAGTCATTTTGCTGCCCCAAGTGGATAGTATGGGAGGACAGCCTCATGGTAACAGGTATGGTTCCCTCCACCCCTGACTTATGTTGATTTGTGGTTATGCAGTTGCAGATAAGGTAGAAAACCACCTCCTCCTATGCCTTGTCTTCTGGGTTCCAAGGGTCTGGAAAGCGATTCTGTAGCCAGTTACAGGGTTGCCAACTCTGGGTTGAGAAATACCTGTAGATTTGAGGGGCATGGTTTGGGATGTGGAGGGACTTCAGCAGGGTATAATGCCATAGAGTCCACTGCCCAAAGCAGCCATTGTCTCCAGGAGAACTGATCTTGCTCATCTGGAGATCAGGTGTAATAGCTGGGAAATTTCCTATAGGGGAAATGATATGCTGTGGCTGGGAATCACGGTGATTTCTGGGAGATCTCCAGGCTCCACAAGGAGAGGATCAGCAAACTGTTTAGAATTTTGGAGGCGGGACTCAGGCAACACAACCAGTGGATAGGGACAGCTTCTGAGGGACACATCATGGAGCCAACTGATTTAGGAGCATGTGGAATGTTCAGAAAGTGCCACCCCACTACTCAATTATATATATAATAAAGAGAGATAGATATACTACTATTAAAATACTCATAAGAATGACTGGCAGAGAAGAACATGGGGTTGGCCCTTAAACATGATGATGCAGATTTCCATGTTGGGAATGGGTCTGCCCTAATGCCTGTGTCCACCACAACCATCCATAGACTTCCAGTCATATTTTTTAAAAAATACCTCCTCACATGTTTTGGGCATGATATATCAGGAAAACTGTAAACTAAAGCCATATAAAACCAATAGAAATATCTGGAGGCGAAAGGAGCAAAGCACACTCTTCCTCACTTCCTGACTGTTTTTATCCATCACATATCTAAGTGTAGTCATCAAAAGGAAGAACACGCAGACATTTCTAAATTAGTTCTATTTTAGTCTTTTACTCCCACAGAACACAGAAATTTGGATGGCATACCAACCGACAGATATGCATGTAGACAAAAAGGTTATCTACCCATCGACTAGGCTGACCAGAGGAAGAATTCAAAGATTCTTCCACAAGTTAAAGGATTCCTCAACACCTGCCATGATAGCATAATGAACAGTACAGATGGGGGCAAACTCCGCCATTGGACCATTCAAATGAGGTGGAAAGAATCAATAGGCATCTGAAAGGGCAATTACAGGGGGTAAGAGATCTGGATTGCCCATAAAAGAAGATCTCAGATAAAAGGTAAAGGTAAAGGTTCCCTTGCTCGAAAGCCAGTCGAATCCGACTCTAGGGTTGCGGTGCTCATCTCCGTTTCAAAGCCGAAGAGCCAGCGCTGTCCAAAGACGTTTCCGTGGTCATGTGGCTGGCATGACTAAACACCAAGGTGCACGGAACGCTGTTACCTTCCCACCGAAGTGGTACCTATTTATTTACTTGCAATTTCTTGCTTTCGAACTGCTAGGTTGGCAGGAGCTGGAACTAGAGACGGGAGCTCACTCTGTCATGCGGCACACTCGGGTCTCGAACTGCTGAACTACCGGCCTTCCACAGCCTGCAGTTCAGCGTCTTAACCACTTGAGCCACCGCAGCTCCTATCTCAGATAAAACTGATGTATAAAAAACAGACGGAACACAACAGGGAAGCAGAAGCCCTCCTAAGACTTGTACAGAATAAGTGGCAAGAAGGTAGAACCATGGAAGAATGTGACAGGACCATGCACTGACTAAAGGGCTTTCTCTTTTGGCAGTACCGGCTCAAGAGAATCGTCCCCTCAATGGGCTGGTGTGCCCAGGCTGCCTCACCTACATCCCTAATGCAAACCAATCTTGCTCGAGTAATACCATTGTCAACTGTCATGGCCGGGAGAATAAATGCATTTCGTACACCGGTAGACTTAAAATACGTAAGTAGAATTGACAAGCAACTAAAAAAAAAAATGCCAGGAAACGAAAGGAAAAATGTTGATTTCTTTCCTGAGAAGGGCCAGTGAAACCTAACATTCATCATCCCCAAATCCCTATAAAGAATTTGCATGAATAGCCTTTTCCCCTCTCTCTTTCACAGGTGGGCAGTACTATTCCCCACTCAGTTTCAAAGGCTGTGCAACAAAAAATCTGTGTGACTTACTAACGGGAGCCACAGAAGAAGGAAGTGACCTGCTGCAACCCAGCGACACAACAGAAGCGGAATGTTCACCCGCTGAATACCCGGATGAAGAGGAGCCCTCTCCGGAACAGTAGATGTGAAAGGGAAGACTCCTCTCTCTACAATGGAGTCTGTCATTTCTGGAAGACGGAAATGAAGTTAGAAAATAGTTGAGGAGGCCAAAGAAAGTGGGAGATTCAGGCCTCCTGAGATGTTTCCTCTGTGCTGGGTGTGGGTGAAGGGGATACAGAGGGACAGAGGGGAACCGAAAAGGTCGATATTTGGGACTTGGGGGTTCTGCAGGGGGAAAAATGGCGTGTGGGCTGGATTTGCATTGAGTATGATGAAAATAAATTGATATCACAGCAGACAGAAGATGTGTTTTCCTGGTGTGAGGAGGTGCTGCTGGTGGCTGAAAGGAACTGGAGTTTGCCTGCCTCCCTTCCGCTGCTGCTGGAGCATATGGAAGACAGCAACGAACTGTAGCTATCCCTGAATACAGCAACTATCAGGCAATCCCTCCCCTAACACCAGGGAGCCAAGGCATAAAACTCCACATACTAATTGGGAGAAACTTTGGCTGCGTTCACACGGGCAAGAAAATGCGGGGGGGAAGTGCAGCTGTTTGCCCCGGTGCAAAATAATGCGCGGTTGCATGAGCAGACATCCCGTGGAGATCCCGTGGAGGTCCCGTGGTAGGGGGGAGGTGCCGATCACACCACAATCCTGCGGTGCGGCAAACGGGTGGTTTTTTTTCCTGTACACCGAAGTGTGCGCATGCCCCGTTGGGTGCTTGTGCGCATCCCGTAGACACTTGAAAAAAGAAAAACCTTTTTGCGAGGGGACATGGGCGGGCACCAGATGTCACCGGATTCCACCGGAAACACGATCACGCGCCCGCCCTTGCCCCATGGTTTCCGGAACCTAGTACCTCCGAGGTACTAGTTTTTTATCGCGCATCTTCGGCGGGAAGCCTCGGGTTCGCCATGGGAGCTCTACATTTCCCAGATGTGGCGGTGTGATCGCGCCCGGAAAATCCGCCTATCTTGCATCTCTGTAGCGTGGCTACTGCTCCGTGTGACCACAGCCTTTGAGACCCAAGCTGTAGTCAATAGAAGGGAATCAAGTATCATAGAATCATAGAGCTGGAAGGCGCCAGATAGGCCACCCAGTCCAACCCCCTGCTCAGTGCAGGATCACCCTAGAGCATCCCTGACAAGTGTTTGTCCAGCTGCTGCTTAAAGTCTGCCAGTGAGAGCGAGCTCACCAACTCCCTTGGCAGCTGATTCCACTTTTGCACAACTCGTACTGTCAAAACGTTTTCCCTAATATTCAGCCGGTACCTTCCCGCCCTTCATTCAGACCCATTATTGTAAGTCTTCTCCTCTGCTGCCAACAGGAACAGCTTGTGGCAGCCCTTCAAATACTTCAAGGGAACAATCCTGTCTCCCCTCAACCTCCTCTTCTCCAGGCTAAACATTTCCAAGTTCCTCAGCCTTTCCTCACAGGGTTTCGTGGCCTCCAGGCACCCAGCTCATCCTCGTCGCTCTCCTTGGCACCCGCTCCGTTCTGTCCCCATCCTTTTTGAAGTGAAGCCTCCAGAACTGCACACAACACTCCATGTGTGGCCTGACCAATACAGTGTCCAGCAGGACTAAGACATCTTGCAATTTGGATGTTATGCCTCTGTCGATACCCCCCAAGATTGCATTAGCCTTTTTTGTCACTGCATCACACTGGCTGCTCATGTTTAACTTTCGGTCCACGCATACCCCAAGATCTCACTCAAATACCCACTGCTACTCAGAAATGTATCCCCCATCCAATATGTGTGTTCCTCATTTTTGTTACCCAGATGTAGAACTCGGCACTTAACCTTCTTAAATTGCATCTTGTTCACATCCACCCATTTCCCCGGTGTGTTCAGGTCTCGTATCAGGGACCTCTGGCTTTGAGCCTTTGAATGAGGAACTACGAGGCATCCTGCCTTTCTTTGCAAAGAGGACCTAAAGCAGCTAATGTTCTCCTCCTCTCTCTGCCTAGATTGCTCCACCCACATGGAGCCAAATTCTTCTCCGATCTTCACAGGAGCCTCCTATTTTAAAGGGGTGACTCCAACCGCCAATCATGCAGACCCAACCTGGGTCTTTGCAACAAGCCCATCAGGGCCCATTCTCACTCCACTTCTCCCCTGACTTTACTGTCCCAGATAGCTCCTTCCTCACTAGGGCTGGCTGCATGGGGAGGTCTCTGGTCTCATGGTTGGTGAGTCCCCTGCTTTCAAAAGGAACTGGCCATTTCCCCATCAGTCTCTTGCTATAGTCTGTTTGTGCTAGTATATGTATGCCAGATGAATGGCTTGCTGGGGTCTTCATCCACTGAGGCTCTGTCAGATATCTGATAGTCTCTTTAACTGCCCTCTCAACATCTTTAAAAGCCTTTCCTCATGTTTCTCAAGTGTCTTCCCAAAGATTAAGGGATTATCAAAATAAACTAATCCTTGCAGCCTGTTCATACCCACCATAGCTTTTTCCATGGGCCCCTGGAAGGACTCCGAAGCTTCAGAGATACCTTAGAGCACCCACTCAAATCAATAAAACCACAAGAGAGATATGGAAGCTGTCATTTCCTTATCTTCCTCTGCCAGTGGACTCTGGTGATACCCTCTCTGAAGGTCAAGGACAGAAAAACATTCACTCCCGGGCTGTGGCCCTTCACATCACCTGCTGCCTGGTCCTTCTGACTGGAGGTGCCAGGGACTGAACCTGCTACCTTCTGCTTGACCAGCAGATGCTCTACCACTGAGTCATGGCCCCTCCCTTAAACAGAGGTGGTTTCTCATTGCCTGTCTCAGGGTGCATTCAGACGGGCCATTTAAGCCGGTATAGAAGCCAGTTAGAAACAGAGTACTTACGCGTGATCACGCTCACAACATCTGCCTCCCGTCCCTAACCGTTGCTGTTAGATGGCCACTAACAAAGATTCGGAGAGTGGTTTCAACAAAAGTTATCAGCTTTATTGTAGGTACGAACAAGGGCTTAACCAGAACAGATTAACATTGGAAGCTAGGCTCCTTTTAAACATTCCCGGGCTAACATAGCCACACCTATTTACAATTAACAACCAGTGAGGTTGTTCGGATAACGTCCAATAAGGGTTCATCCCTCGCAGGGAACTGGTGCAGTTCTGATTGGTCGCTGTTGTGGAGCGACCAATAGCAAGCTAACTCGGAGGAGCCTTCCTCGGGCTCGAGCTCACCATGGAGAGTCAAGGCGGCAATTCCTGTAAGTCTCTTTGTCACCACAGTTGCCAACCGTCGCAAACACCCCTTAAATCGGTGTAGCTTGCTACTAGGTCCCCAAGTGGTGTTTTCCTGAGGGCTCCAGTTCCAGCCGCGTTTTCCCCATCTGATCGCTCTCCACCGGTGTCTAGCCACTCGCTGGAAAGCCCAAGGCTTCCGCTTTTTGCCTGCCATTTTTTTTTTAGCCTCAGCGCTTGGGCAAAGCTTTGCCCCGGCATTAAATTTTTTTTTTAAGTGATTCATTTTAGGTTTTGGACGAGTCCAGGACCTCACGGAGGCCAGTTTCGCTGTAAAAGTTTAAAGGGCAGTGTTCCTTCAGGGCATGCTTTTGGGGACAGGGTGTTCTGCGCCTGCGCGAAGATCTCAAATCTGTGGATGGCTGCCTAAGTGCAAGTGCAAAATGTAAAAAAAAATTTTTTAAAAACTGCCAACATGTGCTGCTGCACGCCTAGTGTGGACGCCCGGGAGCGATGTGTTGCATGGTGAGGGAGATGAGTGTGACCGCACTTGCCCCAGATCAAATTAGTCCACTTGGAACCAGAGCAGTTTAAATTGCTCCCGGCCGGCTGTCTGAACACACCCTCAGTGTAGCAACCCTGGTCTCCCGTGGCTCTCCCCCATCCAATTAGACTGTCCAAGCTGCCATGGACACAAGCCATCGTAAACTGGTCAGGTTTGGCTTGTTCATTTAGTGTCTGATAATCAACACACATTCTGATCTTCCCATTCTTTTCGCTTACTACATCAACAGATGAGGCACAGAGACGGCTTGACTCAGTGATAGCGACGTTCAAACCAGACCAATGTCCTCGTAATATGGTTTTTTTTAATGATTTTTTAAATCTAGGTGTGAGCCAACACACAACCACTGAAGAAACTTAAATCATCATTATTTAACTTCACATGCATTCAGAAGATCATTTACTCACAATCAAGCTGATAGCTGGGTGGAGAAGTTACGTCTTGGTGATCTAGGTCAATTCTATAGCCATGGTGAGAAAGAAATGGGTTTCCCCTTCTCCTTGTGGTAAGGATAGACAAAGAAATGGAAAAGAACAATAAAAATTCCAATCGTCATGCCTCTAAGCTCAGGAAATTTCTTTAATGATCCAGGCAGAGGAATGCTTTTGGAACACCTAACTGAGGACTACAATTCCCAGGGGCAATGTTTCTTAAAGATACACAGCAGTCTTACTAAAGTACTACTACCTACAGTTAACACTGACTGGGGGCAGCACTGGCGGCACCGAAGCCTGCAAGAATCTTCTCCTGCTGGAGAATAGCCAGGCTAATTAGTCAAAACAAAGATAAAACTAATCTAGAGCCTTACTTCCCAGCATTGGGTGAGTAATTTGTCCAAAGAAAGCTAGTTAAACTCTTTAAAAATATTAAAAGCCTTGGAGCAGGTACCTATAGTGTTTTTAGCAGCAACCGCCCCAAACCAGAAGCTGTTGTTTTTGTGCTGTAATGCCAATAAAGATGTGTGTGTTGTGTGTATTGCATCTATATATCTAATTCTGAAGTCGCCCCCTGGTGTGCGGATACCTAAATCCGCGCACCGGGGGGACCTGGAGGGAAGGGAGAGTTTTGTGCACACGGGGGGCGGTCCCCAGGTGTGCACAAAAATCTTAAAACTTTAAAAAACTATCGGGGGATACTTAAATCCCCCCAAAAGTCACAGAGCGTCCCCTGCGCATGCGCAGGGAACACTCTGCGACCTCCCTCGCCACCACCGCCACTCGGGGGGGAAGAGAGCAGCGAGGCCCGAGCG